GCCCCATTTGACCACAAATATTTCAGGCAGACTTGCTGTCCACGACACGCACCATCGATCCATCCCGTATATGCCTCGCCATTTGCGCAAACTGTTCCGAACAAAAACAGTTCGTCACGATTTCCTAGAGTGAGTGTTGACTGGTGTTGGTTCAAGTAGAGAGGTGTGGAGGCTGTTCCTCATTTCCTGGCTTTTTTCCTTGCAGTTTCCGGGCTGTAAAGATAATGTCATTAGTCCCATGATTTTTTCGGAATCCGCGTTGTTTCCGACTGAATACCGTGCTCTAGGTGTATGTCTGACTGTTCAACTAGCACATGGCCGGTTATTTTGCCAGCACGACTGAGAATGGACATTCCACAACATGCCTGTCTGTTTCCTCTGCGTTTGTGCTGGTGATCGGTATGCGTCGGCCCGTTCCGTGCAGGTCGGTGCCCAACTTTGTGGAGGCTTGTATTCAATTTTCTTTATCAGACCACGACGTACCAGAACGAGCTGCACCATCACACTAGACCTAAGCGGGCGGCCAAACAAGTGTGGCATGCGTTATTTGAAGGCTTTTGGCCACCCGGCTACTGCACCCGATCTCGGTAACTGCAGTCCGCTTGACCAAGACTTACAATTGATACTTAATTGAAACTCAAAGAATAAGGTGTGTCCCGAGGTAACTTTCCCCGCCATGATTTATCACTTACTCCTGGTAAATCTGATGCCACACTAAAAGTTATGACACCGAGGGCTACCAACTAACTGGGAAGCAACCGGAGTCGTGCTGTAATGGCTCAATACGTGGTCTTTACGGCAACTCTTTTCAGTCAGATATTCAAGGTCGTTTGTTACAGTCAAGTACGTGAGCAATAGCATTCACTGCGCCCATGTCAATTTTAGCTGGCTCGTCTTTGTTTTGCCATAGGAGCATGGTGCATGTTGAAAAGAGAGGTAGATGCTGCGCAAGCCACCACTGTCCAGGCGGTGGTGGGCCCCATTTAGTATGCGGGAAAGAATACCAACAAGGGGAGACTGGGATGGCCGTTTATGGCTTACTAGCTGTCGTCAGTCAGCCATACCCAACCCCTGGGATTCGCGAATGATTTGAGAACTGAATTATCCAACGACTGACTCATGGAGTGCAACGGAACCACCGAATTATCCTATTCACTGTTTTTTTTCTGGAAAATCTACCAGATCGGATGTGGTCAGTACAAACTGGCCACTCTTGTTTTCACTAGGTGAAGTTGTCAAAGATCTTAAAGAGTCGAGGTTTAGCCGTCTAAACAATCTTCTGGAATCGACCGGCAATCTGACTAGTGGATGTAGTAACTACTCTGACTGCTTTCACTAACCGCTTTTTTATGTCGGGCGACTTGAATGATCCGGTTGCGTACTTTTCACTTCTATGGCAAATCCGACGAAAGTAGTGATTGTGGTAGCTGGCGTATTTGTTTGTTTTTCCTACACTTCTTTGTAGAAATACTGTTCCTTGCGCTTCTAACACAATGTTATTTAAATTTGAACCATCATCTAATCAAGAAATACAGAACTGTAAGGACTCTCGAGCCGACTACCCGCGCGTGCTTCAGCCTGCCGGCCGAGAGATGCCTTCAGCAATGATCCTACACCGCAAGTCGCAGTCCAAGGAGAACGCATCGGCCTCCTCCAGTCTATCTACAAGTTCCCAAGACTCCCACCTCAATAACCACTTCCGAAAATGCGTCCCACATAGCACCAAGAACGGACGTCATGCTCCAATTTGGCGGATAAACCCAAAGGTTTGCCATTGTGCCTTGTCTAGTTCTGTAATTGCCTTCCGTCTAGGACCCTCGGATGCCCCCCTCCCCCGAGTCAACTTCATCTGATGTATTTTCAACCGAAGCTCCTCGCGAAATCGTGGTCCCCCAGTGGCGCAAAATGCCCCCCATTAGTGCTACTTCGAGTATGTTGTCTCACCGAAATTCCTCTGCAACTGTTGCTGTTGGCCACAACCTCGTCTCATGTTCCATGGAGCCAGTTTCATCTGCGCCTCCACCTTGTACTTACGAGGTAGGTAAACACAGATGAGTTATTCTTTTGTCGCTCTCCCCTACAAGTTTGCTTCTCGTCGTTTACATAAACATGGCCTGAAGCAGCACATCTTTTGAATGCTTCGAAAGCATTCGCATAAGTCAGGACAAACAAAGATCTTTTAGTTGTTCAACGCACCAACTCCCACTGACACGCGTGGAAAGGTCGGTTCTTGATGTAGCTGGGAAGACTCGATCGCTGGCGTTTCAGATTCGCTGTCGAACTCATAATCAGAGACAGCTGAAGAAAGACTTGGCGGTCGCAGACGACGCTGCGAATTTTAATAGGCATGTGATTGCATAGCGACTGCGTCCACTATAACTGCGGCGTCTACACCATACGCTGCTGTCTTCGATGCTGGGTTCGAAAGTGAACCCGAGACGTTCTTGTTACCGCAATTTAGTCTCCTCGGATCAGCTTTTGTTAGAACTGTTTATGTAGTGATGTAGACCAAGCGCAAATAAGAATTGCCTCGAAAGCAGATGCAACTGTCTCTGCGCGAGAATCCGAAACGTCGGGCGAGTAGACGTCTTCCAGCGACCGCGTGTCATTCCTCTGAAGTGTTTCCTGAAACGTGCCTTTTATTCCTCATCCAGGCAATCTGTTGGTTAACATTTCAGACGCAAGGTCACGCCATAGAAGGTTTTGGGCTTGACAAATCATTTGAATTTCTGCTCAATTTTGTGTATCAAACTGACAATGGTGAGCCAACCAAGCCCTCCAATATCTCCACAGTATGCTAGGTCTGTTCCAATGCACCGTTTCTTTTTCCCAAGTTATCATCTCATCTTTGCCAACCGTATCATATTCTTCCTAGTTATTGACAGGCAGTGTAAGTCTAACTAACGGGCGACGGTTCTTGTTCATGACCAGACACTGGGTAACCGACTTGAGAACCTGGATAAGCGTGAACCTTCGTAACCCTGCGCCTCAGCTCGTAGCTAAACCACACTTATGTCCCTTATGCCCCCCAACAAAAGTTTGGTGCGTGCTGCCGTCGTGTTATCTTACTGAGCGCTGTGTCTGTATGTCAAACCACAAGCGTGTCGTCAGATGGGAAGTCTGACGTGTGATCACGGCTTAAGTGAATGCCTGCCAAGGCTCTACTTAATGACAACTGAGCGTATTGATTATCAACCCATCCCTATTTTTCTTAGGCAATATCTTTGGACAGCGAAGTTGCGGAGGATACCTCGGATGAGCATTACCGAGAACTGCACGCAGTTGAAGAGGCCAATGAACTCCGTCGCAAAACTGGCCCCACGCATTCTCCACTTTCACCGCATTCATCGGCATTTCACGCGGTTTCCGACTGAATTTTTCAACTTCAGGGCTCTTGTTTAAAACGATCATTGGGCACATCATTTTACGTTGCGCATTTACTGCATCCCCGGTTATTAACTTCATAGACATACCCACTTTAGCCAAAGGTTCTATTTTGCATTCCCGTCGCTTTCTGCGCCACCTTTATCAAGATCGTGCATTTCTTCTACCAAGATCATTCTCCCTATTATATATATATATATATGTATATATATATATATACATATATATATATAACTATTTTATGATAACAAACGGTTCTCCATTGACGCTTTTACCATGTATACAAACCTATACATATACACACAGTCATGTATGTATATATCCCGAATTACATGTACATAGATTTCCTGAATTCTTCCTTCATGCTCCTCCTTGGGGGGGTCAGTAGTCAATTTTAAGTGTAGGTTTTCACTGCTGAACAGCTTTACAAGGCGAAATTCCTGGAATTCTACCATCGTATAAATCGCACGGACAGTCAGTGCACATCGATAATAAAGCAAAAAACAGCGGTAAGATGTCGTAGTTGTTTGGATCGGCCGTCCCAAAATGCCCTTGCTCCCCATTTCAGGATTAGAATTTGCTTGCTACCCGCGCAGTCGTCCAGAACTAGAAGTCAGACTGTGGGTGCTTCACTCTGCAGTGTTGCGACAGCCTTATGCATCGAGGTGCCAATCCGATGAAACCCAAGCGCTCCTCGGACTGTGAGCGACGTCTCAATCTGTTGGACTGTGGGCCCGAGCCGGTGTGCCTTGACCGCCTCTGGTTAGGGTGTGAGAGAGCATTTCGCAGGAGGCCCGCTCGGCGATTGAGTTATCGGTCGATGACCGTGCTTCTTACCGTGTGCTCACCACGTCCGCTCTCTCCAAGTTGAAGGTACGCTCTTCTTGAGAGGAGCGACTCGACCTACCGGAGTAAGACGCGGCTTGGGAGTTTGCGTCGTCCCTTCTCACTCCTGACGCGTATTCGGTCGTTCGCATCTGAAGCAGTCTCTACTTCCATCCGACGTAGTTGCGTTGCCCGCAACTGCAGCAGATCCAGCAAGCGAATTCCGCCGTTTTATGCCGTGCAGGTGGAACTCTCGGCTCCAGTCGGTGCCGGATAGTTGTCATTTGTTTGTGAACACTCTGGCGATCGGCCACGCCAATGGCGTTCCTCGAGAACACGCTCACTAAAACTAGGATCCCGCGCGGCTTCTCCCCTCTTGCATTCTTTATGGGCGAATTGGCGGAATTGCTGAGTTGACCTCCAGCTTTGGAATTCCTCAAGTATTTTGCCCCCACAACCGCCCCAGTCCACTGCAGTGTGTCTCACTGGAGCGACGGAGTGCCGTCACGCGTCCGAGTCCGGTTGACTGAGAGTTTACTGTTGAGTTTGAGCACTAGCGTGGCTTTTTCCACTTTCCTGAAGACCTTGGGTTCTAGACTGCCACAGCATCTGGGCGGGTACACCAGGGGAGGCCGATCGGTGGTTCCCTCCCACGTCGTAGGTCATATTTCCTGGGAGAGATCATGGGGACGCTCTTTGGACTCCAATACCTGATACTGTTCGGGGGGCTGTTGTGTCATCTGCAGAATGCGTGCGGAATTTACGCCCTTGGAATCAACACCGGCGAAGCCAACTTCTAGAAGGCATAGATCCAGGAGTCGGTGTGTCCTTAGCCTCCTCACAAATTGTCCCGTTGAATCTGAGGCATGCGCGTAAGGCAGCCTCAAGATTCCGAGGATCTGGGAAATCTTTTTTACATCTTATTTTCTCCCTAGGAGCAAGCGGTTTGCCTTAGCTGCCGGGTTCTTAGTAGCAGCAATGATCGGAAACGAGCTTTACCGAGAAAAGAACACTCGTTTTGAGGCGTCTGTCTTGCATGATGACCCCTGTCACGGGTCTCCGTATACTATGGATTAGTACTGCCATTGGCACGGTTTCTTACATGAAATAAGACTGAAATTCAGAAGCTGTGATCAGACCACCACAACAACCACACATCTAATGTGGTTCAGCATTCGTGAACGACTGGGCCGAGTACCCAATCAAGGAAAACTCTACTGCCTTGAGGTCATTCAGTCGAATTATACATCTTTTTTAAAAAATTCAATGCTTAATCCCTTGTATCTCAATCATGAAAACTGGCGTAAGTCTGCCTGAACGTATTATCTCCCAACGCACCACGACCTTCCTGGATTCTGGATTTTGCGGACAGTCTGACTCTGGTGTCCATTACTCCAGCCAGATGATGTAGGCGTGGGAATAAACATCTTATTGGTGCGCATTTTAGAGACAGCTTTGTTACTATCATGCGTCGCACCTCGACTTTTTTTACCGTTCACTGGCAACTCGTTAATCGCCTGTCATAGTCCATTTCCAAAAACTTCGCGCTAATTAAGCGCGTAAACGCCTACATGAGTTTGGATTCGCCCGGGCCTTAGACCTGTTGATCCTACGGTAAGTTTTTGATCTTCCGACAACCTGCTGTCTTGCGCACTAAAGCCAAGACTCACACCCTGCCGTTCTACACGATGGCGGTTGTTTGCTTTCAATTTGCCCAGTACACTAGGTTGAGCTCTGGGAAGAAAATTTTGTTGCTCGTTTTCCATGAGGAGTGACTAACCTTGGTTTCGGACGGGGTCCTTCACATTGGCTGTTGTGCCCGCCTGACTAAGACTGAATTAACTGCCGCCACCACGCCAAGATTGGCAGCATTTGTGCTGGACAGGGCTTCGTTGTCTAACATCCGCATTCATTTTCTCGTTAATCCCTCTGACGGTGGTGTGCCAGTTCGTAGTTTACTGACGAGATGGGACCAGACAGTTTACAAAATTTGTGTCTTAGTGCTCTGTTCCCCTCCGGAGCTCTCCTCATCGACCGTTTTGTTGAAGGTGATCTTTACTCCTTTTGCTGGTGATACCTGCCTGACCTCGGGGTGCGCGCGCGCGCGCTCCTGAAGTCGCGGTCAATCGTTGAAGACGAGACAACGTTGGTGAGACAACGCCAAGGCGGCCGGGGGTGGACGCGGGCGCAGTGGTTGATAAAACTAAATGGCCAGTCTACGCGGCCCAACCAAGAACCCCTCCCAGGTCAGTATGTCGGGTTTCTGGTGGGCGGCTGAGATCCCAGTGAAGGTGGAGTGCCAGGGAGAGGACATTAAAGAAGGGGGCCAGTGAGCCTGTCTCTCAGTCCTTGAGCCAGTCGTCTCAGGTACACACGCAGTACCGATCGCGGAAAACGAGTTATCCCGTCAGTTGGCGGCCTTTCAATCCGCGGCTTCTGCTGCATCGTGATAGGTTCAAGCACGTCAGCCTTATTAGAGTGAAGAATGTGCTCAAGGGCCGTGGGGATGGAATTCCCGGTGTCGGCTCCAATGCACGAGTCGACTGTCCAAGCCTGTCAACTATCGGGTAATTTGGTTGCGCCTAGCCCTCGAAGCCTGGTATGCGCTGGCAGTTCTCTGGTACCTGGTTTCCTGCCGGCAGATGCGCTTGCTCTTCGGCTGGGTATGCAGGCTGTGTGCATGGTTGCCCAGTATGTTTTTTCATCCTCTCCTCTTTCCGACCCACTTTTATTTTTGGTTACAATCCTGGCGAAATGTTTGTTGTGGACCAGGGGGTGTGGTGGCACGCCTAGGTGCGGGTGTGGCCGTGTCAGTCACCCGCACCCTCTCCTGACTGCAGTCTTCTTGACTACGTCTTGACACCGGGTCCAGGTGGAGGAGGAGGGGGAGTGCGGTAGATGCTGCGCAAGTCCACTCTCACCTTAAAGTATCTCACTTGCAAGTCGCTGTCTCTGCTCTCACCTTGCTGTGGAACGGACGGTGGAGGTCGTTGGACGCGACGATCGAACCGCCATGATTAGGCTGGGCGCAGTGACTGATGGAGCTAGACTGTCTGTAGCGGGCAGCCATCATGACCGGTCTGGTGTCATTGTTCAAGACCTCGCTACCTCAAGGCCATTCACTCCTTGCAGCGAGCCGTCCCAGACGAGCTGACCTGAAGCCACTCGACTGACTTCAGCTCGGACATAATTGCGTCCACACTGCATCGCGGCTACCCATGCGCCACCGCCTGCAACCAACAAAACAAGCCACTTGGACACAACCCCTCAGAAAATGCAACACACACCGATTGGAGACCACTTGAGCTTGGCCCACGAGCCTAAAAAAGCGGCTGCCACCACTCTCCCAAGGACTCTCAGGCCTGAATGGACGCAGTCAACATCAACCCTGGCTTCGCCAGTGGCCACTGCCGCCTGAGAGGACAACTCCGGTTTCTGTGCACAATAAACCCTCAATTCTGGTGCCTTCTGCCTCTCTCCTTCCAACACTAGGATTTGACGTGGTGACGGTAGCGCACAGACCACCCACTCATTGCCGCCACAGGTCCATCTACGTGCGCCGCACAAGAGGGAAGAGCGTAGACTATTATCTCTATCTTTTAATTTAATGAGCTGTTGTCTGGTGGGATAGTAAGTAACCTTGCCATGACTAAGTTAATGACAGTTTCACTGGGTAACAGGGATATCAATTTTAGTAATGAGCACCTGACTTTATGTAGTGGGCTTCCCCTGCACAGCGCGCTCTGTTCGGATGAGAGTTAAAGAGCCGGCCTGTGTATCCGACATGACCATTAAAACAAATTCAGATGACCCATTGGATGCTTTTGTGAGATGCTCGATAGACGGGCCCAGTTCACTATGCGCAGGATTTTGCGCTGGCAACCTATCCTCGGATTTACAGTCCAGAGCTGTCTACTTAATGTCAGATGCTAAATGTTCATCTAAGTTTAGGGTGCCCCATGCGTCGTTTTCCTCCGTCAAGGGAGCAATAAGCTCTTAAAGTAATCTCAAGTCGTTATGCAGCCGCCAGATTCAAAATAACCAGGGTAACCAAATCTGGAAATCACAACGGTAATCGTTTTAAGGAGAAAGCAGTATAACCTTCGCTGTTTGAGCCAGAGTGCGACTGAAAGTAGTGAAGTTTAGTGCATACAAACGCGACACT